TGCGGGGGGGGAGGGGGCATTAATCCTCAGCAGCGCTTGGATTGAATGCAGAGGGAGTGCATGGCTCTCCCAGACAATGCTGTGCAGTCAGCACCCGCCTCCCTTCACGTGACCTGGCTTTACATGCGTGATTTACCCTTTAGCGATTATGGTAGGAAAGAAGGTACACAGACAGAAACCAACCACCCCGCACATGGGCAACAGTAAACAAAATGCTTCATGGGTCGCACATAGAGCCCCGATGGGCGGCGTGGAGCCCGTGGGGTGGGCAGCAGGTTTCCCACCACTGCGCCGAATGGTACTGAAGCCACTGTTGCCAGAAAGTCATTTTTCTGGTGCAGCCGAGGCTTTGGATCAATGCAGAATGGGAGATGGTGGGGGCCTCCCCACTCCCAGGGCTGGTAATTCATTTTTCCCATGTAACCCACACAGCTAGTGTGGTTCACTGTCCCTTGCCTTGCCCCTTCTGGGGGTGTGACACCACCCCCACATCTTGCCCAGGGGCCCAGCAAGTCTGTCACTAGCCCTGGGCCAAGCTCACCTATTTGCCCCAATGAGGTTTTGATTCATATAGATAAACACTTTGGCTGTGTCTACACTGGCACAATCTCGGGCAAAAGCGGCGGCTCTTGAGCAAAAACTTTCTGCCTGTCTACACTGGCAGCGTGTTCTTATGCAAGTAAACTGACGTTCTAATGTATAAAATCAGGGTTTCTTGCATGAGAACTCTGAGGCTCCTGCTCAGGAGGAAGCCCTCTTACGCAAGAGCTCTTCCAGAAGAGGCCAGTGTAGACAGGCAACATGAATTTCTTGCGCAAGAAACCCCTATGGTTCAAATGGCCATCAGAGCTTTCTTGCACAAGAGAGTGTCTACACTGCCATGGATGCTCTTGCGCAAAAGCACATGCCAGTGTAGACGCTCTCTTCTGGAAGAGTTTTTCCAGAAGAACTTTTCCACAAAAGAGTTCTTGCGCGAGAAGCTGCCAGTATAGACGTAGCCCTAGGTGCTGGAACTGGGAGGGATGGGGGGAGAGGAGGAGTGCTGCAGCACCCCTGACCAGTGTTTCCGCTAAGATTTTTCCAACCACGAGCAGAGAGAGTTTTGGCTTGTGCACCAACATGGAGGTCACATGCTCTGGTTTGGATGTGTGCCACCGTGGCACCCCGTGTAATTAACACACACACGTTTCTGGCCACCGGAGCAGACCCTGCCCCCACTGGCCATGTGGCAGGGCTTGTTCCCAGCCGCTGGAATAGACCCGCTCCCCTAGCCATGTGGCATGTCCCGTTCCAGGCTGCCGGAGCAGACACGCTGCCCACATGTGGCAAGTCCTGGCCCCAGCCACCAGAACAGGCCCTGCCCCACTCCCATGTGGCAGTCCTGGCCACCAAAGCAGGCCTCTCTCCACATCCCGCCATGTGGCCACAGCTGGTCCTGGCCTCCTGCCCCAGCAGCTCCCTCTCTATGTGAGAGCAGCTGCTCACACGGCTCTCCAGAGGAAGAGGAGGGGAGGGAGAATTTTTGTGTGCAGCTGTGCAGGCGCGCACCTTAGTGGGAACATTGCACCTGACTTGAAGTGGTTTCCATTATATACAGAGTTTCCAGTTTGGTTCATCAGCTCTCAGCACCCCCATTGTACAAATTATTCCAGCAGTCTGGGATGGAACCGGTTTCTAGGATGGCAGCAGGTCTTCACCAAAACCCTCACGTGGGACCTGCTTTCCAGCTGAGTGCAGGGGCTTCTGCAGCGGCCTGTTAATCCAGACTCCCACGTGTCTTTGGTGTAGCCCTATCTCCCGTCATCCTTGGACATCCTGTCACCACTAGCAGGCTGAGTGAAAAGCAAAAGGGCTGGCTGAATATCTGCCAAGAACACAGGCCAGGGGTGGGCAGCCTGTGGCCCACTGTGGTTCTGTGTGTGACTGGCTCCCAAGACATTTTGTTTACCATGGCCAGACCTGCCGATAGCAGGGGCAATTGCACAGGAGGCTGGGCCCCCCCCGGCCGCTGCTGCTGCTACTGTGACAGCAGTGGCGGCTGGAGCCCTGGGCCCCTTTGAATTGCTCCACGTGGCTCTACGAGCTCTAGGGGAGCTAAGGACTGGCTGCCCTTTGCACCGCCCCCTGCTGCTTGAGGCTCCACCCCTTCTGGGGAGCATGGAGCTAGGCCTCCCCCCCCACAAAACTTGCCCCCAGGCCTGTGGTGGCTGTCGGCCCCACTGACTGTTGCCCACGTGCAGGGTTGCCAGATTGTGCAGGTTTAGGTCTGTGAAGTTTTTTTCTTACCAATATTACTAACGTGACACACAACGCAAGGGCATGTGATGGGGCAGGGGGTGGGTGCATGTTGATTGCACACAGCCGTGTGCTCCTTCTGCTGCCAATCAAAGCGCAGCTCCGGTGCAATCGGCGCATCCTGCAAATTGTGGATATGCAAGTGCAGTGAGCAAAACTATCCCAGGAGATCGTCTTGGTGACAAGCCTTGTGGCCCACTGTGACGGAGGGCCACTCATGCAGCCAACTCATTAGCCTGCATTGCCCCTCACCGGCACATGCAATGTAGGTAATGGCCTTGCAGGCCGGCCTGCCAGGAGCAGGCGAAAGGTGGTCCGACAGCTCTTTTATTCAGCTCCTTTCTGACCTCTCTAGCATTTGGCAGAGGGAACTGGGAGGCCTGCTCCTTTTCCTCCCCTGCGTGGCCACCTCCGGGCACATCTCCACGGAGAGAGGGCAGAGTGTTTGCACCACTTTACAGCTTGCCTAGGAGCAGCGAGGGCTGACTCCCAACCTGTTTGCATCTGTCTCCCGGCTCCAGCCGGGCTAGGAGTGCAACGGAAAGTCCTTGGCCAGGAGCCTACCCACCAATAGGCTAATGTCCTAAACAGCTGTTGCAGCACCATATTTCACATCCACGCTTGACTCCGACATCAGGCTCGCTCTGCTACGAGCCTCAGCGGAGCCGATCTTCCCCCCCTGGTTCTTCCCCCCTCTCCCGGGCTGGGAGCCTTTCCTTCCACGGGAAACCTTTCTCCTGCCGTTTCTCTGCCCCTTCTCGTTTCCTCCTTGCTCTCCTTCCTCGGGGACAGTGAACATGACACATTTATGTAAAACCTTCAAGGTGAATGGGGCAGGGACTGGTCCCCAGGGTGGCACCAGTGTAACTGCCGGGGACTTAGCTAGTCCCCCCCTCTCCCGGGCTGGGAGCCTTTCCTTCCACGGGAAACCTTTCTCCTGCCGTTTCTCTGCCCCTTCTCGTTTCCTCCTTGCTCTCCTTCCTCGGGGACAGTGAACATGACACATTTATGTAAAACCTTCAAGGTGAATGGGGCAGGGACTGGTCCCCAGGGTGGCACCAGTGTAACTGCCGGGGACTTAGCTAGTCCTGTTTATTCACTCGGCAGTGAATATCTCACCTGCCCGAGGGAAGATTTCATGGGAGGTGCATGAAACTCCAAGAGTTCAAGTCACTGAGTTTCCTCCAACTCTTCCCCTCTAGCTTAGGGTTTGCCCCATTCAGGGAGGGGATGGAGGATTTGTCCCTCCTGCTTACAGAGGTGTCGTGAATTCCACTGGGAAATCCTGGTGCACCCGCTCAGAGGCCCAGGGCCTCTTGCTGCCGGCAGGGCTCCATTTGGGATTCCGCTTGCATCGATTCACCACCCACAAGCCAAGGGAAATTCGTAGCTCCCTTGGATTGACTCTGGGCTCTTTGTGCAGATTCCCTGCTTTCTTCTTGGCCTCCACATACAAAGAGCCTGGGAAGGAGAAGCCTGACCTGGCAATGTAGGTGCATTCTGCAGGCTGCGCCAGCTAAGCCTTTAGGTTCCCCTAGGGTTACCACATGGTTTAAAAAAAATACTGGACACACTTGGGCCGTGTCCAGACTCAGGGGTTTTTTCGGGAAAAGTAGCCTTTTCCCGAAAAAACTTCCCCTGCGTCCAGACTCAAGCCGCGTTCTTTCGAAATTATTTCGAAAGAACGCGCCTTTTCTTTCGATGGCGGTAAACCTCAATTTACGAGGAAGAACGCCTTCTTTCGAAAGTTCCTCTTTCGAAAGAAGGCGTTCTTCAATGTAAAGAGGCCGTCTTCGAAAGAGAGCATCCAGACTCGCTGGGTGCTCTCTTTCAAAAAAGCGGATTTCTCTTTCGAAAGATCCGCCTGCAGTCTAGACGCGATCTTTCGAAAGAGGCTCTTTCGAAAGAAGCCTGCAGTCTAAACATAGCCCTAGAGATTAAGGAGAAAACTTCTTTCTGCTCCTCCTAGTAACAACCTGGTATGTATTTAAAACTGTTATCAGTTCCTTCTGAGTCTCCTCTTCTCCACATTATGCAAAATTAGTCCATTCAACCTTCCCTCATAGCTCATGTTTTCTAGACCTATAATCACTTTTATTGCTCTTCTCTGGACCTTCTCCCATTTGTCCACATCTTCCCTGAAATGTGGCACCAGAACTGGACACAATACTTTAGTTGAGGCCTTGTCAGTAGAGAATGGATTGGGATTCCGGGGTGCTCCCCGTCCTGCACGGTCCTGGCAGGGCGCATGGGCAAGTCTGATCCCAGGGATTCCATCCCACTCCCACTCCCCTCCTCTCTACTGCGTGGTTGCGTACGGCCTGCTGGGTAGACACACTCATGCAGCGTGAGCACATCTACCAACCAGGCAGTGCGCAACAACGTACTGATACTCATGATAATAAAACGTAATTAGAAAATACTGGTATGTAAATGTCCGGTATTTTCTCAATTTGTTTCCTGGACAGAAAGCTCAAATACCGGACTGTCCGGTTCAAAACCGGACACCTGGCAACCCTAGGTTCCCCATGGGACAGGATCTTGCTCCCAGTGTCAGAAGGCTTTGCCACTGATATCAAGGGGAGCAGCGTTAGGCTTATGGCCTGTAGGTGTCCGGAAATCCCTGGGAGAATGTCTTTCCAAACTGTGGCTAAGCTGTGCTTTGACAGGCCCTTCTCAAGCTGAAGTATTGTGTTTCCTTCCAGTTGTTCCAATGGAGGAGCAAGTGCAACACCGACAGGCGGAGCCGAACCCGGGACATCTGGAGCTCAGTGTATTAGCCTCTACAATGCGAGCAAAAAGCCAGCTGCCTCTCAGGCTGTAGAGCTCACTCCTACTTTCTTTCTCTGTAAGTGAGCTAAGTGCTACTACATGGGACAGCACACCGCACCCAGAAGGTGTGTGGGTTACACAAGGGTATTGGGAGGGAAATGAAGGCAGCAGCGTGTAGAGTTTTTGTGCTCTCTGCAATATATTGGAGCCATCTAAATTGGTCTTGTGGTACTGAGGAGGGATACGGCCGCTGACATATTTTTATCGGGGATTTTATTTCTGTTGGCTTCATCTACAAGAAATACCGTTTCCTCCTTCCTGAGCCGACGCCGAGCGAGGGGGAGAGACAGGCTGCAGATGTGAGCTCTGCGCAGCAGTCACAAAGCCCGGTGAAGGAAGGCACCCGGAGCCACCTCAAGCAAGTAAGCAGCAAACTTTTAAAAAAGGGTGTCAGGAAACAGCACAGAAAATTAAGGCCGAGGCCAAAAATAAAACCCATCTGATTAGCACCAGAGCTTCCAGCCCCCTGAATCTCCTTGGGCTCAGGAGATAAAAAGCCCCTTTTAACTTCCTTTGCTTAGAGTTATTGGCGTTCAGCGCAGTGAGGAGGAATCCGCAGCCAGGGGTTTGCCTCTGATCTTGGGTGGTTTGCATTCGCTTTAATAACTACCCTTGCTAACCATCCTATAGATGCACGCACATACATATTTTCTCTCTGTCTCTCTCTCTCACACACACAAACGTGCGCGTGCATACACACACACACACAGAGTAAAAAGCTTTGAGATCCTAGCATAAAAGGCATTATATATAGGCCACAATTCATTCCATGCTGTGGCCCTTTGTGCTGCTCTGGGCATGTAAAATGGGCTCACATGCTCCCTGTAGATTTCCCTTGAGGGCAAGAAGGGATTTTCCCCACCTGGTATAGAGCAGTGTTTCTCAACCTTTTTTTATAAAGTACCCCTTTAAAAAAAAAATCCCAGTACCTACAGTTTTCAGACACACGTTTTTTTTTTTCTACCATTGCAACACGTTTGTTTAAACAACTTAATTGTAGCCAGGAGGATGATGAAATGTTGGGTGTAAAAAGTACAAAAATAATAAAGCGCTGGAAAACTTAAAACAAAAATTCAGTTTTCTCCACATTTCAGTTGTGTTGACGTACCCCCAGACTTCTCTCAAGTATCCCTAAGGGTACTCGTACCAGTGGTTGAGAAACACAGGTATAGAGCACGCATCATGGCATCCCACTGGGTCCCAACATACGGGACATGGCTAGAGGACACTGCTCTATCTATGCTGTGCATTTAGAGTGCCAGGACCAATGAATGCGATTTAGAGCAAACCTGGTACTACCTCTGAGCTGTGTCATGGACCTATACTCATCAAAAGCCAGAGTCAGAGTCGCAAGGTGGCTTAAAGACCTCCAGATCAGCTACTAGAAGTGGGCCGCCTCCTCCCTGATTGGATCCACCTTGTCATCTCTAGCCTGATTCTGGCCTGCATATTTATACCTGCCTCTGGAAATTTCCACTACATGCATCTGACGAAGTGGGTCTTTGCCCACGAAAGCTCCAACACTCCAGTTAGTCTATAAGGTGTCACAGGACTCCTCGCTGCTTTTGCAGATTCAGACTAACACCGCTACCCCTCTGATAGGTGGCTTAAAGCCACTTTGGCCCTTGCTTCAGTCTTATGCTCAATGCGGAGCTACCAGGACACAGAATCTAGCCTTAGGAACAGAGGTGAAAGGAAGCAGGTGCACATGGTGCGTAGCTCCGGCAAGAGCTGGCTGAGCTGTGGCAAAAGCCAGCAGGGAGCTATTTAAAGAGCTGGCAGGGACCTGGGTTGCAATAGGCCAGTGCCTGTAAGAAATGTTAAGGTACTTTCGCCTCTGCTTAGGCATGGAAAGGACTGTGTCCAAAATGGTTCAGAATGCTGTAAGTCAAATCCTGAGGCGCTCAGTCCATCCCAATGCAGGTGACTATAGAATATGGCTCTGTAATCGTGCCATGATTGTGAATGGCATGATTTGCATCCATGACTTTATGGCATTGTTAATGAGAGACACTCTTATTGCCCTCTTCTCTGCTAGGAAAGAGCACCCAAGTAGACAAAGGGTGAATAGTGATTTTCCAGCCCTGGTAGGACATTATGGTAGCATCTTGAGAAAATAGTGAGCCAAATTTCTCCATTGTCCATTGAAGTCAGTGGAGTGGCCTCCAGGGTGGTTCTGATTCACATTCCCCCCCCTTTCATAAAATCATAGAATCCTAGAACTGGAAGGGACCTCGAAAGGTCATCAAGTCCAGGCCCCTGCCCTCCTGTCAGGACCAAACACTGTAGACCATCCTTGATAGATGTCTTTCCAACCTGCTCTTAAATATCTCCAGTGAAGGAGATTCCACAACCTCGCGAGGCAATTTATTCCACTGTTTTACCACCCTGACAGTTAGGAAGTTTTCCTAATGTCCAACCTAAACCTCCCTTCCTGCAGTTTAATCCCATTGCTTCTTGTCCTGTCCTCAAAGGCCAAGGAGAACAATTTTTCTCCCTCCTCCTTGTAACACCCTTTTAGATACTTGAAAGCTGTTCTTTTGTCATCCCCTCCTCCTCCTCCAGTGTTTAGTCCTTTGTCCTTGTGCAGCCTCTTGTGTTCAACGATCCCAAGTATTGATGTAGCCATCCTATCATCAGCTGGCTCCCACGGCTGCTTCTATATGCCACTACTCGCCTGCTTGCCATAGACAGCTGATGGCAATGCTACTTTAGCTCAAGTGGGTGGGGGGCAGCCTGTGTTTTCTCACCTTCGGAGCACGCACGCCTGAGTCCACTATTGCCATGAAGTTCTGAGTAGCCATGGTGCAAAGTTCCCACTGGCTACTGGAGGAGTATTAGTCCTTTTTTACACATAAGGAAACTGAGACAGAGAAGACCTAAATGACTTACCCACCTCCCCCAACAAGTCAGTGACAGAGCTGAGAATAAACTCTGGCGTTCTGAACTGCTTCTCTCCAGGGGAATCTACGGGGGCCATTTGTGCCCCTTTTACATGCCCAGAGCAGCACAAAGGGCCATGGCATGGAATGGATTGTGGCCCATATATAATGCCTTTTATGCTAGGATCTCAAAGCTCTTTAATGAGACAGACAGACAGACAGACTATTATCCAGGATGGGTAGGAATGGTGTCCCTAGCCTCTCTTTCTCTGCAAGTGGGAGGCAGGGGAGGGATCTTATGAGGATTACCTGTTGTGTTCCCTCCCTCTGGGGCATCTGGTATTGGCCACTGTCGGCAGACTGGATACTGGGCTAGATGGACCTTTGGTCTCACCCAGTATGGCCATTCTTATGGAAGAGCGAGCGAGAATGTGGCATTCTGAACTGCTTGTCCTAGCAAAGGGAGGACTGGAAGGAGCCGTGTTCAGTGGAGCATCCGTGCTGCTGTAGAAGCATCAGGGAAGGGGTGGTAGGAACTAGCACTGATTTCCCCCCGGCTCAGGATACCGCCTGTCACTGGTAACCCTGCACAATTTATTTCTGTGGGGTGGCCTTCAGACATGTGAAACCCCGCATCAATGTGAAACAGTGCCATCCGTTCACAACACATCCCCTGAACGTCGAAGGGGACTGATTGCGGCAGCCTTCCTAGCCAGAGAAATCTGTGATGTGTTGCACATTTTGCAGCCATCTTCCCCTTACCCTCAATGTTTGGTTTTAAATGCACCTCTTTTTCCCAGCTGGAGAGAGGAAAGGCTGGGAAGTGCATATGAATCCGTGTGACCCGGCGTCTGCGTCTTTCTAGGTTAGTCTGTGCTGGCAAAAGTGAGGTGGGCTCTGCAAATGTGTGTGTGAGCAGAGAAATGGGCTAAAGAGGGGACGGAGCCCGCTATAGTCTTTTTTCTTTGCCTTTCCCTGCCAATATAATCAAAATAGCTCACTTACACCTAATAAAATAAAATCCAGAATCCAAAAGCCTTCCTCCCCTTTCGCTATGTGTCTGGATGCCATTCCTTGAAGCTGAACTGAAAAAGCCAGGGCTGGTTTGTTTGTTTGTTTTTAACTTTATTTTGAAGTGAGAAATATGAATGATGGTGGAGAAGGTGGGAGAGGAGAACCGAGCAATGGTAGATAAGATACCAGCAGAACAAAGACCAACACTATTGGATAAGTTGGGTCCTACTCTCTTTTTTTCTTGCTTAGCGCAGATAGGTGAAGCTTATCGCTTCATCTGCCCCAAGCATACATGCGTGTGTGTTTTTTCAATTAGAAGTGGTTTGCCTCTCCCCTCCGTCAGTTTCCATTTAAGATTGCTTTCCATCACAGCCCTAGTTCCCCAAGCTGCCAAAGAGCAAATGCAAGAAGCATCAAGTGGCCTTTTACAATGTGGCAGGGATGCCAGATGCACAAAAGAATCATAGAATATTAGGGTTGGAAGAGACCTTGGGAGGTCATCTAGTCCTAAGGGGGGGGGGGGTAAATACTGGCCTAGCGGCCAGATCCAGTTTCCCAGAGTTAGTCCCTGGTGGGCTGCTGCCACTATATATTTGCCTGCGCCTCTGCAGGTACTGGAGATTGCAGGTGCCATTGGCCATGGATCCCTGTTCCTGGCCACTGGGAGTTGCGGGAAGTGGTATCCCAGTCCCAGTTGGGATTTTCTATGGGTGAAAATTACAATTCCCAACCAGTTCTATTCCTGAGTGTCCAAGCCACAACAAGTGTTGATGTGGAAGCTCTATGCCTCTGAAAACCATGCCAATTCTATGTCATGAGCATACATCCCATTGGGCAATGAAATTTGACTGGAAGGTGTTGCTTGGAGCTTTCTTAGATTTGGGATGACCACACAAATGTTTTATTTAATTATAGTTGTATCAGATCTCATACTAAAAACATACTAAGGGTTTCTTTAATATCTTGCATTCTAGGAAGGTTCTCAAAATCATAAGGTATATTAGTGCCCCCCCCCCCAATATCCTCTCTGAGGTACAGTCATGGATCTTCCCTCTTGAAGAAATTTGGATTTTTTAGAGAAAGTCACTAGTTCTACCCCCCAAACAAATGGGATTTTAAAGCTCCAGAACTATATTTAAAACTTTTTGGAAGAGCTCCCACTCACAAAGGTCATTCACGACTTTCAGCTCCAAAGCATACATTTCTGGTAGCTGGTAGCAGTAGTAGATCGTTATCCCCCATAGGCCAGTCACTAGAGAGAGATATGCCACACTTGATCAGTGTGTTGCATTATTATCCCCATTTTAGAGACAAGGAAACTGGGGCACAGAGGTTAAAGTGATTTGCTCAAAAGGTCAGTGAGATTATGCCAAAGCCAGGAACTGAGATCAGGAATCCTGCTGGCTTTCCAATTCTTTAGCCACAAGACCACTGAATATATTCTACAATTTATATAAACAGAGATA